CCCCCCCACCCACCCCTCCCCCACTTTTGGCCCCCTGCCTTCTCCTTTCACCCCTCCTTCATCTCCAGTCCCTTCCCCCTCCATCCTTGTCGCCGAGGAGGCCGCTCCCTCTTCCCCTCCTCCACTTTCCTTTCCTCCTTCAGGCTCCTCCTCCCCTTCCCCTTCCCCATCCTGCTCCCTCGTCTCCTCTGCCCCTCACGGCCCCCTCCCCCCTCGGCCTCGCAAACGCCGCCCCCCTCCCTCTCCTTCTCCCTCTCCCTCTCCATCCCCTCGACACCACTCAGACACTTCTTGGGATGACGATTGGAGCACCAAAGACGATGACCTTCTTCTCAGCCTCAAATGCAACGAACGACTTCGACCCAGCTGGCGCTACATCACTACAAAAATGGAGCGCCCAGAGTCTCAGATCCGCGCTCGTTGGGCTGAACTTCTCGAACTACAACGACTGGCTACATCATAATCTTCACCTTGGACGTTTGCCTCAACCATTCGCGTTTTTCGGAAAATGGCCGCTGCTGCTTCTCTCTCTTCATTCCTCTTGAGTTTTGGTCTTGGTTTTTCCCTTTTGTTTTTTTCCCTTCACCTCAGCCTCTTGGCCCAAGTTTTAGTCTCACTGCTTTTACTCGCAATTTTCAAGCGACAGATGTCCACACCATCTACGACAGCTACCAAACGCTCGCGACCATCTATGGCCTCCTACCTTCGGGACTCAGACGAACCTATCCTCATCTCCACCACTTTCCCCAAGAAAGCTCGTCCGACAACACCGCCTACCTCATTGCGGACTACCTCTACTTCTCCTCGAGTACGAGTACATCTCCCGCGATCCACTCTCGAGCGAGTGATACTACCCTGAATACCGACCGACCTTTGGTAGGATTACTTGTCAAGCTCAACGGTGAGGAGATACCTTTTCTGATTCCCCGGCCTACCCGTCCTTTTCGATTGCCTGAGGCTACACCTTAATTCACTCCAATTCACTACTTCGACCCGTTGCTTCCTGAAAACAACGTTCCACCCGCTTTGGTTGATGAATCACATTGCATTTCACCTCGACCACCACTTACCTCCATTTCTATGTTCATTTTTGCTTCTCCCGCAGCCTTTCGGTTCTACTTTGGTTCGCTCCTTACCTTGACTCGATCGGCGCTGTGGAACTTCAACCAGAAGATGTTCGTGTCCCTTCAGGAGACTCCTCTCCGACACAAGCTCCTCTCGATGACACTCTTTCTCATCAGGAACATTTGGACCCTGCACTCTTGTCGAGCATCCCTCGATCCGAGAATCAGTACAATGAGGATTTCACTGACTACGCTCGTCAAGTCCACAATTCAACTCATGGAGATTGGCCTGTCGCTGAACCATTCGAGGAATGGTCGTGTCGTCGATCCCACAATGAACGCTTTTGGTTCTATCGCGCTTGGTTCCACCACAAGACTCTTCCCTGGGATCACTACGACATTGAATACTATAAATCTGCGACCGGTTATTTCATCGATGATCACCCTGCCTCTCACTGGCCTTCGACATTCTCAAGAGTGTGGGGCACCCTGGGATGGCAACTTGTGCTTTCTGCTACCTCCAGCCTTCCTATTTGGGAACAATGCGAAACATATGAAGGCGCTCTTCGTGTTGAAGAGGAACGCATTGCTGCTGAAGAAGCACGCTTCGCTGCTACCCAACAACTCGAGGACAATCCTGTTCCCCGCAGAGGCCAGAAGCGACAGGCTATTGAAAACCTGGAACATCTCAACGTTCAGTACCAAGTTGAAGCTCTCTTGCACAATTTTTCCCATCTTGACGTTTCCAAGGTCCCCATGCTCCAGGGCCTACCCGCCCCACAACAAGAACAGCTTATCACTGGTGTCGTCCACACCCTCACTACATACCGCGATGAGCTTCATCAGACCTACCGACCAGACGATCCACCTGGCCATTTAAGTGCGTCCTCTTCGGCCCCTCCGGACCACTTTCCTCCCACTGACCTCATCAGAGATGGTACTGGACTTCCACTTCCTTTACCTGATTCAGGCTCTATGTCGCTGAACTCCACATCGACTGAATCTCAAAATACTTTAGAGCCTCCCTTTCCTTTGGATCGTCCTCGTGATTGACAACAGTTTGAGGCCTTCATCACTTCCTTTCACCCACGACCCATTTCGCCTTGCCGTGAAAAGAACCTCACCTCTCTTTCTCGCGTGGAAGTTTATTTCGCTTATTTCGCTTTTTCCTTTCTCGGTTGATGCTCTTGCTGCATTCTTAGCTGTTCTTTTTCCGCAGCCATTGGCTCCAAACCCTTCTTCTGCCTCGCGCGTTGTTACTTCTTTCCCTATCCTGCTTGATGATCTCATCCCCGGGTCTTCGTGTCCCTGAACCTTTGACACACACGATTCCTACATCCCGTACTCCTTGGAGAGAAGTTCGTCAACCATTTGAAACATTAGACATGGTACCTGACCTCTCTACCGTCCGCTTTGAATTGGACGTCAGCTTGCTCGTCTATCAACCCCTGAACTACATCACAGTGACCCTAGACAGGCAACAGCTTGACACCAAGGAATACACCGTGGACGATCTCAAAGATGTTATCTACTCCCGCCTAGGCCAACATCGCACGGCCTTCTGGATGGCCCTTCCTTCGTCTGGTGATTCACAAGTATGGGAAGTACCACACACTTACACCCTTGAAGAGCTCGTCCTTTACTTTATCAATTCACGACAGGTACGTCCACAGGGCCTCTCCACAGAATACCCTCGCGAATCCGTTCCTTTTCCCTACCGGCCTCTTCATACAGTCGCTCCCCGTCTTCATGATGATGCCATTGGTCAACTCCGACTCCCATTGACTGCCTATCAGACTTACCGTGAGATCCGTCAGTTCTCTTAGTCTCACCTCACCTTCGGCGCGGAGCTTAAAATCTTGCCTCCCTTCGGGGAGGCGTGTGTGTGTAACCCTTGGAGTCATAGGGATCATTTTGGATTTTAATTTGATTTATTGCAGGGGGTAGCGGCAGATCACTTGGGACCGCTACCAACGAAGACGCCCATTTGATCTGGTGAAATCAGAGTTGGCCACTCTGACGTACCTGCTTGAATTTTCAACGGAATGGCACGAGGCTAAGCCCAGAACCTCAAGACATGGTGTTGCATAGGGCTTTGGTTTTGATTTGCAGATGTGAGCGGACGACGTCATTCTGTCGGTCGATCGTTCGGTGGTTTATTCAGACTTTATGGCCTCGCTGAACTTGTTGGACCTCCTCTTCCTTTTCAGGCTTCCTTACCTGTACTCTTAGGAAATGGAACCCTAGGCCGGCGTGTGGCACCGCTGTCAAGTCAGTACGCATATCCATGAGTGTGTGCTTGGGTGCTGGGGCCGTTGCAGGGCGCCGCCGCTGCAGGGCGCCGCCGCTGTGTGCGATTGGGAGTTTGGCTGCTAGTGTGGGGGAGCTTTGGTTGGGTGCTGGTGCCCCTGCAGGGTGCGCTGGAGGGCGCCGCCGCTGTGTGCGCTTGGGAGCTTGCGTGCTGAAGCCGCTGCAGGGTGCTGCTGCTGGGTGCCGCTGCTGTGTGCGCTTGGGAGAGCTATTGGGGTGATTACTTCAAGTACAGGAAGAGGCGCCGGTCTGCGCTTTCATATGCGTGGCCGTGCGCTTTGGAGCTTGGGCCGGACATGTGGCCGGCTGCGCTTTGTTGGAGCTTGGTTGCTGGTGCCGCTTGCCAGATGTGTGGCCGCATGTCTTTGGCTTGCACCTTGGAGCCTGGGTGCTGGCGCTGCTGGAGTGGGCACTTTGTGCTGATGCGCCACACGGGCTTCAAATGCATTGCCAGGGCTGGATTGATGTGGGCATGCAGGTGGGAGATCCGAGCACTCTGGTTGGGGGTCGCATGCAGTTGTCAGCGGAGCAGGGCCATGTGGCAACCTGCAACATGGCCAAGCGTCATGCGCGCAGGTGGTATGTTGCGTGCGCGGTGAAATGCCATGTGGGCAAGTGTGGGGCAGTGAAGCTTTTGGATGCCCTTAAGTTCCCCAGATAGCGAGAGCTAGTTAAATCTTTACCTCACGTTTCGGAAAAATTGCCTGTGTGCGCTTTGGAGCCTGGTGCAGGGTGCCGCCAGATGTCTACAGTAGTGGCTTTGGAGTGTGGGTGCTGCTGCCGTTGCAGGGTGCCGCTGCCAGATGTCTATCGCTGCGTGCGCTTTGGAGCCTGGGTGGTCATGTTGCTGCAGGGTGCAGCTGCAGGCTGCTGCTGACAAATGTTTACGGCCCCGCAGCAAGGTGTTTGTACCCGTGTGCGCTTTGAAGCCTGGGTGCTGGTGCCGCTGCAGGGCCGCTGCCTAGTGCGTGGTTAGGCCTTCCAGCCTGCCCTGTACCATCAGGGGAAGGCGCATAACGAAAGAAAGAAACGGCGGCTTCTCAGATCGCACTCAGTTCAACTGCTCAAAGTGCACAGCCAAAGCGCGGGATCCATCTGGCACGAACATGCACCCACCATCTGTTTGAGAGCTTTATATTCGAGCCAGATCTGGTCCATTGTGGGTGCATGTGCTTGTTGCATGTGCTGCAGAAGACTCGAGGCTTAAGAGCTGCGTGCCTCTGATCTGAAACTGCTCCCATTGACCCATCTGGGGTGCTTGGACACATTGATCGTGGGTGCCAGGAACCGAGCGTGCTGCAGTCTGCCTGCCTGGCAGCATTTAGCTCGGGCTGAATCACTGCAAAAAAGAATAGACAAGGCGTAGCTACCACTGGTTCGACCCCCGCCTGTGAAGGAACACAAAGACTGTGAGGGAAACCTCGCTATCATGAAACAGTGGACTTCGCCAAAACAGAGCCGCGTAGCTCTTCAACATTCCCATTTCTCCACTGCGTGAACTTGTTGTAGCCTCGAAGGTGCTTTGTGTTTGGACGCCCATCCTTTGATGACGTGCTTGTTACATTATGAAGCTTCCAGCATGCAGAACGAGTTGGAATGTGAATCACATTTCATGTGCGGAGTCAGGACCTTGATTCCTCTGGTACTATCTCGCTGGAAGAATGGGTCGAAGCTTTGGTGCAAATTCGAATCCCAGCAGCAGCAGTGTGCCACATCGAATGGTAAAGTACAAATTGGATTATTTGGATTGCGGTATTGAGATCTTGACCTTGTTTTAGGTATGTCTTCATATTACCAGCGCAAGACCGATGAGGCCGAAGCTATTGACGCGGTCAGGGAACATGCTGAGGCGGGTCTTGACCCTGGCGATGAAGATTTTGACTGTTTCCTGTGGCCTGCCTTGAAGGCTGCTCTGAACGAGGGTGATACGGTGCATTTGCTGAATTTGGGTGATGCGAGCGTCGAAACAGGTGAAATCTAGGGCCAGGATTCGAAGATTGGACGCCTGCATGTCAAACTAGGTAACTGCAAACTCAGTGGCTGTGACCAAGGACTGGAATGGCGAATTTGATTTTTTTGAGACTCATGGCTGAACAGGAGTTTGCATTTTCAAAAATAGTAGCTAAAGGTGCGGTACGATTGTCAAAGAACTTTGTCTCCGCTTCACTCTAGCTCAGACTTATCTCAGGTTTGTTTCAGCTTTCAAGACGAATCCACGGTTTCTTCGAAAGGCAAGCGCCATGTATGCATCGTGTTTCGCAGACCTGCAAACTGGACACCTGCAGGTGTCTTTGGCGACTTGTATCCCAGTTGAAGAGCTCATGCCTCAGAGAAACAAAACTACCGGCTGGTCTCACGAAAGGCTTCCTGCGTGAGAAAGATGCTCACTTTGAGGCTTCGGACCTTGCAAACGGAATCTCTCGAAGAGCTGTTTCTAAGTCTAGACACCGACTTCTCAGGCGTGGACCTGTCAGAAATCACTTCAAATCACCGACATTGCTGCTACTGAAAGGCCTCCACTAAGTCTTGGCCTTAACTACAGTACCCCATTACCCCCATCTATACTTATCATATGGCCCATACTTGTTCTATAAAAAAGACTCGTATGTTTGTATTAAAAGCGAACTTTCTAAGACATATTCATTGCAGATCTCCTACCAACCTCGATAGGCACGATCTCCTTTGCCGAGTTTGTGCAGGGTCAACTTGGCTGCATTGGCGGGCGAGCATTCTGCATACTTTTTGGTGTGCCAACAAGGAGGGCACCTAGTTAGGTGGTTGTGCTTGTTCTACCCCACTGCTAAAGCGGTAGCTTCGGTTCGTCAAAACAGGAGGGGTACCAAGTTGCTGATTCTTAGGATTGAATGTCGGGGACAACAATTGAATGTAAAGCTAGCAGTAGCTCAGTAGCCAATCCGATCAAGCATGTTCTCACCATGACATGACAGAGTCCTGCAGCTGATTGAAGGCTCAAACCCGATTTGCCTTTTGCAGGAGACTGAATCATCAGTACTGCCAGTACTATTGCTTTGCAGTTTGACAGGGCTTTCTAGAGTGCTGGAGCTATGGCGCACGGCTTATCACACCTCCATGCTGCATGGCAGGTGGAAAAAGTGGTGACTGAGGAGGAGGCACGTGCATCTTGGCCACTCTGACTTCCCAGCCCAAAGAGACTATCATGATATCAGTGATGGCCTCCAACCTAATAGCAATGGCCTCCAACCTAAGAGCGATGGCGGCCACCTCACTAGCGATGGCTTCCAACCTATCCGTAAATCAAGAAGTGTAATGGTTAATGCGAGGTGCTATGGAATGTCATTATTCAAAACATGCAGAGCCAATCCATGCTGCGCGGTATGTCAGGTAATACTACTACGATTTGGTTGTGACTATGATCCTGACTGCAAGCTGATGGATGAGATCCTGCTCGCAATCTCTGACAAAGTGAAGGTACGGCATTGACGATTGTGTGAGCCTGTCAAGAAGCCAAGGTAGAAAGACAACTTTTGACTGAAAGAGAGTGCTTGGAGGCACAGTGCGAGATATTCCTGGTGGATGTGAGCCAAGTACAAGATTTTACGCAGCAGTATGCCTCTAGACTTACAAACAGCGGATAGACATGACATGCGCCGCACATGTGCAGCTCGAAGCCCTGTATCCCACCCTGTGCAGGAACAGCATCACTTTGCATAATTAACGAACAAATGGAACAAGTTGTGGATCGAGCAACGCCTGTCTCTTCTCTTGTGACAAGAGTTTCATATCTTGCATGACAGTGTGCTTGTTTACTTCTGTTGTGTAATTCACAAGACAGGCAAAGGGCAGTTCCATAAGAGGATTTCTCATGCTCGCTTATTGCCAAATCATTGCACCAATTCACATCAAATATTGGCTATTGGCACGATTGCTTTGAAATGTTCACACATACAAGGTCATACAGCCAGCACCAAGACAAGTCTCCACAATAGCCATGCGTGTACTGGAAAAGGGCTGTGATTTTTGGAAGGTGAAAGCATGCAAAGATGGAACACGCCCTGCTGGTTTGCAGCTTGTGTATGTCTCAATTCTGACATATCTCTGACTCTTTTCTCAATCGCCACAGCTCATTGGGCCACAGACTTCAAACAATTTTGTATTTTGAGTCAAAACACAACCATTTTCCTCCTCCTTCTTCCTTGAGGAGACTTCTACTGTGTGTATCAGAAGGGTTTGGTTGTTTCCATCAAAATCTCGGAATCGTTTTGCCACGGCACAGAAGGGCTCCTTACTTCTTGCCAATAGCTACTACTCAGCTGCCCGTCTTGGCTCCCTGTTGCACCATATGCTCAGCTTTCTTACGGTGCTACGGCTGAAGGATATCATGCACAAAGCAAACATCCATGACAAGTGGTGCAAAGCACACCTAGCCACTCCACCTGTCAATGATTAAAGAACATCATTGTTGTCACAAGATCAAAAATCCAACTGATATTTGTGATGAAATGCTGTGCTTTCCGCAGTGCACAGCCAAAAACTGCTACTGTTTCTGCAATTTTTGGCTCGTGGTCCAAACTTTGAAGAATCTGTACTTGCGAGGAGGATGTCCTCGGTGAATTATTTATTGATGCTGCTAGTTCTGAGAGAGACAGAGAGAGAGAGAGAGAGAGAGCCCAACTTGCTGTCTTTCCAAACCAGAAGTTTGCACATCCGAAGTTTGTTGGAAAAAAGAGGTAGGAATCAACGGCAGCATATTCCAAGTTGCAGCGTGGCACCGTGCTTGCACGAAGCCGTTATGGAGAGCCCCAACCAGGCCTTGTTGAGACACATGCCATCCAGTCTACTGCATCCGAAGACAAGACCGACAAGACCATCCGCACCAAATCAACAATTCAACGCTCACACCATGAATGGACATCGTCACACCATGCGTCCACATGAATGGGAATACCATCGTTCGGCTCGCTTTGTGATGCAAACAAGGCATTTTGACAGCTGTTGGATGTTTGTCCTCGAACCTGAGGAACTTTATGACCCTTGCACTCTGATGTTCTTCTACAAAGGCCATGTGGCTTCGTGAAATGTTTTTCTGATTTGCCATGTAGCCACGCTGCTAGTGCAAGGCAGGCACCTCCAGCTTGAACTGGGGCTCGGCGAGTCTTGGCAGCACCTGGTTCGAAGATGCTTGTGCTGCTTTTAGCCTGTGGCCACCCTGGACCCTAAGTAGTACTGTACCAACTCAGGAACGGTACAAAATTACGTGGCCAATTGGAGAGGAGAAGGACAGATTGAGGGCACCCATTAGACCTGTTTATATAGATGGCTCTGCACCGCGCACAAAGGTTGCACAATCAGAGCAATAGCAGGAACTCATCTCAATCATTGATGCCATACATCGTGGTGCTCAGCAGGGGCGTGACCTCATTGTGGCTCCACAGGACCGCTCGTTAGCGCCACTTGAAAGGACAATAGGACATTCCGACCACTTGAGATATAGTTGGGTCTTTCCTAAAACTATTTGAGTTGTAAAGTTTTATTTTTTCCTGTTTCTTGTTTTTAGTATAATTTTTAAGGGGGGGTAGGCCGCTAGAGGTAGGTAGCTAGTAGCTTCAGTAGCTACTACCTAGGACGCAGGATAGCTCACGCTTCTTCAAGGAAGCTCCCCCCGCCGCCCTACAGGCGGCGGGAAAGCTTCCTTGAAGAAGCGCTCGCACTAGTGATTTGGTTGCTAGATTTTAGGGAACTTAAGCCCGGACATAAACCTAACTCAGTATATTTTATTTGAGATGCACGGACATTTATATAATTACATCGCCCTCTGTTACTTTTCAGTTTCATCCGATGCTTGAACTTTCTGTCACGCTAAACTTGACCTCTGTTTTAAAATAGCAGGGTGCTCAGCTGATCGAGAGCCTCATTTTTGATGCAACAACCTGCCCCACCACAACAATTGTTATTAGTGTGCAACTGTGTGGTGAATGCCATGCCAACGATGTGTCAGCATTCGTCTTTGAGCAACTTTGCCATTTGCAACAAGGTATCGATATTAGACATTGCTGAGTACGCTGAGATGGTTGAGATTTCCAAGGGCGACTGTGCTGCCAGCGTGATCGATGTATGTAGACAGTGGTCTTCGGCCTTACTACTAGGAGCAGGATGCTGCCTGTGTCTGAGCTACGAGAATGCCACAAGTGACGCAGCATGGATAGCGCTCGCCTGAACATGATCGCTGTTCATGGGCATAGCCTCGCTCTAGGCTTGCTTCGAACGCGCCTAGCAACGTTTCACAACGCATTTGGCCGACGCATCATTCAAAAAGTTTGTCCAGAGTCATGCAGTGTTGCACAGTCACATGATGATCATGATTCATGATGCTATTCTTTGCATCCTTTTTGAGGGTGTTGGCCATGAAGAGGTAGGGTATGGCAGGGTGGTAGGGTAGGACCGGGTTGAAGCTAAAGCTCCAAAGAAGCCTTCCCAGATTTTTTAAGGATCGAAATGAAAACAAACGACTTGGGTGCCAAGGTCTCGCAGAGATCCGTTGGAATCTCAGAAAGGCCTAGTGTCTTTCATGCTTTAGGAGCGGCGATGAAGCAACTTGGGGATGCCAGCTAAGACCACATTATAATGTTGCCCACGGCCTCAGGTTTGATCCGCAAGAGATCAATGGAAGAAGCCAATGAGTGCCAAGAAGCTTCAGTGTATTTGGGCAGCACATGGATACACATGGACACCAGAACAATAGTATATATACAACTATAACATACCGAATAATCAGTTTATCCGAAAAATCTATCATTAACCCAATCACCAAGCACTTCTGAATTCTATTCTACCAGTAACTTCCAAGCTTACTAGCTACCTCAGCTAGTAGAGATTGTCCTACCAATGTAAAAAAGTTCAGACGCCAGTGACGCAGAGATGGTCTGTTTTCAGAACACAACTTACAAATTTGCAACATAGTAACAATGTTCGCTAGTAGTAACAAGTGCATCGCTTCTAGTAACAAGTGCCTTACTAGTAGTAACAAGAAGCTAGTAGAAACAATATACTGTATAGAATTTAATTTTAGAATGGTTTCAACTGTCTTTTGAAGACAGGGTTGGTTGAGTTTGTTGTGCCTCTTGGCCCTCTCGAGGATGAATCACGCGGTCATGGTGGCAACAGCCACTTGCTCAGTGGTGACGAAGCAAGATAGCAGGACTAACCAGGGCTAAGAGTCAGAGGCTTTGAACATGTTTCAATATGCTTCAGGTGCGCTTTCAGAACCACGGAATCTCTTTCCTTCTGCTTGAGATTATGCCTCTGCTCAGGAAGCCTTTGAAGCGGCAGATCTTGGCTTTAATGGAGAATTGGATTTGCAGACATTTGTGCAGGCCAGAGTCAATCAACCTTTGCAAGATTTGGACACTTGTGTCCGAAGTTCATTGCTTGGGAGTTGGTGCGAGGCCCTGACGGATCCGGTGGTTGCCACAAAGGCAGTCTGTAGGGGTTGAATTTTTGGGTCAACCTGTGCTTTCAGAAAACATCAAGAACAAACAACATTGACATCTAGAATGGGTGGAATAGCCCACCGAACCTCTTCCTTTTATGTCTGCACACTTCGAAGGGACTCCAGTGTTGGTGCAAAGCAGCTCACCGTTCCGCAGTTGGTGCAAGGTATCTCAAGCAACGTCGGTGCCAGCAGACTGGTTCCTGAGCCTAGATGCAGAGCAGCATCTTGGCATGATTCTGTCTGTTTTCCCGAAAGCACCTGCGAAGTTTTTTTTCTCAAAGAAAATGAGCCAACTTGAACTGTCCAACCATCATCATCATCATCATCATCATCATCATCATCATCTTTCTTTATCTATTTCTTTCTTTCTTTCATTCTTTCTTTCTTTCTTCCCATAAGTCCATAAGTGTTTCTTACAACAGCGTCCCACAAGGGTGTCCCACAAAGTCTGCAAGAGTGGTGTACAGTAGATGAGGGCCCACAGGTATACTTTGAGATTATCACATCTACTTTATGTTGGCAATTGTGATCATCATCAGTATTTCACCGTCAGTCTTTGTCATCGCCATCTCGGGCCAACAAAGAACCCTTTTGCGTCCAAACCTAAACATTACTTGCTTGGTTAGGCGAACAAAAACATGTCTTGGTGTAAACTTCAGATTTAAGTTTGCAGTGAAGTGAACCCATCCACGGACGTTCTTAAAGAACACGTTGGTTTGGTTTGGTTTCTTCCAGGTTTGGTTTTGGGTCAACGCTTGAACTGGTACAAGCCAGGATAGTGGACCTCTTCCGGGATATTGATGCAGATTCAAACGGCACCATATCCTTCACTGAGTGGATTTCTGCCCTTCTCCGCGTTCGCAAAGTGAACTACCAGGACGCCTGCTCTTCTTGTGTTTTTTCCCCGTTGTCCTTTTGCTGGTAGCCATGTTATTGAAAGCTTGAGGAGGACAGAGCTGCTCGCCAAGAGGAGACTTTGGTTGCTTTGCCTTTATGAACTTTTGTTTCAGAAGCGGACGCATCATGTCCTCAGCTGGAGAAACTAAGTTACTATGTAGCATACAGCAATTTCTCGAGTCAAAGGTTTGCACAGGTTTGATACTAGTGGGGAGCCCTTACAGGATCCAAAAGATAAATCTAATCTACGTCAAAGCACTCGCAAGGAGGCCAAAGCCATTGCCAAGCTGGCAGAGGAAGCGCTGGAAGAAGGTGATCTAGATATGTTTTTTCCTTAGCAGAGCCTGGCATTTCCAACATAGTGTGCTCTTCATTTCGCCGATTCAGAACCAACATATGTTCCGCGTTAGGTCTGGCGAATTGGACTTCCGAGAATTCTTAGCTTCTTGGACCTCATGTGTTCATTCTAGTAGTGTCCTTTGCTGATGACTTCTCAATCTTTCACTTTGCAGCACTCGTTGCAGTTTGGCGACGAATGAAGCAAGCTTTCACATGCATGGTCGAACCCTTCTGCCAAGCCAAGGCGGCATTCCGTCGAAATCCTCGGTTCTTGAGGAAACTCGCTGTTGCAACAGATACATGCGTCGAAGATCTCCAAAGCCTTCCCATCGAGGCCTGAAATGTGTCAGAGGTGGCTTGGAAATTGAGCATGCTGAGCATTGCTTCGAATCACTTCAGGACCTAGAGGATTTTTTCCTTGCTTTGGATGCAGAGTCTTGGTTGCGGAATTGGTGCATACTTATGTAGAGCAGAACAATGTTTAATCTAAGATTGTAGTATGTAAGACTACGTACTTGGAATATAACATCAAGATGTGCTGTGCGTGGCATCCTCCAAGGATGGTTCCGGAACCATTAGCTTCGAAGAGTTTGCCAACGGGCTTCTAGAGGTCAGAATGAGGCGGAATGCCTACAGCCGTGAGGAGGCGCCTTGTGGTTAGGTTCAAGCAGTCATGCATTAATCAAAAAGGGTGTGCATTATTTGATATGAGGCAGAGGCTGAGAATCAGGCTGTCATTGACATTGCTTACTTGGCTCCTCAACTGCTTAGCAGACGTTGATTATGTCCTTGTTGATCGTACAGAGGAACTGTGTGTTTTTCTTGAACATTCAAGGACGCCTTAGATGCTTTCAGCCAAGCAGATCTGGGAGTCACAGGATAGCAGCATAGCAGCTGCGAGTTGTCCGTGTGACAACATTGCTGTTAGCAGAGGCTTAGGGAGGCCAGACTTTCTCCAGCAATTCTGCAACCTCAAGACAGTATATTATGCATGGCATGGCACGCGTCCAGTGTGAGGAGAGCTGGACTTGGATGGATTCCACAAAGCACTGAGCGATCCGGGAATTGTGGAGTGACTTGGTCTTCAAAAAATATTGCATTGGAAACCATCATCAATGATGAGTTGGTCACCAATGTCACCAAATTCTGCATCAGTTTCATTAGGTCAGACATATTTTGGGGCTTTTGTAAGCTGCATCCTTGCAAGGAAGGTTTCGCTTGCAACCCACTTGCCAAAAGAATTCTTTGCCACCCTGAAGAGAAGAGACATTCAGGACTCTTGAATGCCATTCTTCTGCTGCTGAAGCAGATGCAATAACCACACTCTTGCAGGACATGTTTGTTGGAATGGACTTTGATTCTTCGGGCACAGTCTCTTTCAACGAGTGGGTTGCAGCTTTGGCTCGGGACTCAGCAGAACAGTTGTGGTGCTTGATCAGTAATGGCCCCTACAAGCTGGTCGAGCAGACAGAAGAAGAAACAAATTTGGTCCGTTTGGCTTTATAGACATGTACGTGATTGTGAGGTCAGAACGCGTCAAGAAGCTTGAATGCAGCTAAACGTTCGCGCGGAGAACAACTCACAAAGTATAAGATACGTAGAAGAACCATTTCCAAGCTGATACAACTGCAGCATCAGAGTGAAGCATATTTTTGTCAGAAGGATACTTGACATCGAGGATGTTTATTTGCAAGAGAAGCTGCAGCAGGAGAGGGCAGTGGAAGCAGCAACTCAGCGACATTAACAATACAACAAGTTGATAAAGTGTGGCATGACATATTCTTAGCAATTGGATCTCACCCCCACTTCAAGCTCAGTTTCTTTGGTCTTGCTGGGCATTGTTACCGGCTCACTTTGGAAGACACTCTGTCAGGAAGAAAAGATACTCTAGTACTTAGGATGCAACTCCACCGCATCACCGCATCACCGCCACTGCCACTGCCACTGCCACTGCCACTGCCACTGCCGCCACCACCACCACCACCGCCATCACGACTGCCACCACGACCACCGCCGCGACTGCAACCATTACTGCAAGGCATCATTGCTGCAAGACTTTGTTTTCTGGGCTACATAATAACACTTTGAACAAGACACAAGAAGACACCATTCTGCAATATTTGGCACAGCTTCTTTTGAACCCTTCAAGTCTTCATTCCATATGTGCCTATACGTGTAACAAGACTCTATTGAGATTCTGGTTTACATTGTTTACCTCCCTGACCAGCAACAGGACTTGATTAGTTGATTAAGTTGCTCAGAACATTTTATTGGGCACCCAGACTTGATTTGGGGGTATGCGCATGTGTGTACCGTTGGCCTGAACACGTGCTGGCCCATTCATTGCAACTCTGTAATCCTGCAGACTAACGCATACTCAAAACCCGCATCTCTGCTGTTGACTCTGTAGCACCAGCCTCGAGACGCTGTACACTATATAGACAAGCATGCTTTGGCTGTGGATCTCATGAACAAGTTTACAGGTTTTGTGTCTCTGCAGTATGTGTGAAAGGGTGCAGCAGTTCGAGGTAGTGGAGGATGCTATGGCCGCCATGGATGAAGCTCAGGAGGAAGCCTGGAGTATATATGTATTTTCGCCCCCGTAAATTAAGATGCACCTCATGAATGCATGTTCCGCAGTGATCGTGGTTCTGAGCTTGGCCCCGGTGCATGTCCTGCACTAGGTGTGGTTGCTTTCCACGGTCAGAGAACGCTCTTTGCTTGTGTTGCCGTACCATCGGCCGGCTTCGGGAGCTTGTGGAAGCTCCTTTACTGTGCAAGGACCAGGAGCAGGAGGCGCTTACCATCCTGCGTGTTGCCGCGGGTGCCCTACTGGATTTGGCGGAGCTTGCAGCTCCGAGGTTGGCTGCTGAGCGTGCGGCGGCAAATCCACCTGGATTCGAATCGGATCCCCTATCTTCGAGGCCACCGGTTGTTGCACCTCCTGTTGAGCCCATTGCACCAGAAGCGGGACGCCGGAGTGCTCCTGAGGTCGGCGCAGTCAAGCGAGAGGGTGACATTGAGGAGAGCAAAGAGCCGCTAGCCGAGGTTCGCGAGACCATCCAAGACGACGCACCAGCCCCCGTCGAGGAGGACAAGAAGGCAAGCGTTGAGGAGGAGACAGCTCCTGACCGTACTCCGGGAGCAGAAAAGAAGAAGAGAAAGAGGCACCGGTCTTCAAAGAAGGCAGGACAAGAGGAGAAGAAGCCTAAGCGTAAAAGGAAGGCAAAGCGTGAGGAGTCAAAGGGCGTTGAGGAGCAGGAGTCCACTCAGAAGGAGGTTGCACAGGTCGAGAAGGAGCCCGATTGGTCGGGACTTGTTGAATCAGACCCAAGCTTCCTTGGACTTTCACCCATTCCCAAGGGAAGCGTCGCATCCCACTTCTCCCGGCTACCGCCACCTCCACCGGCACCAGTCCGATCAGGACCTGTGGAGCCCAGCTATCCTCCCCCGCACCAGGCGTGTGCAGTCCGGCCGAGGAGCCCTTCGAGGAGCCCATCCTGGACACTCCAACGACGCCCTAGGGGCACCAAGGGAGTCAAGCACCGTGAGCGAGGGTACAATTGGAGACGGTACTAAACAGAATGCCGCCCAAAGCAAAACCAAAGCCGAAGGCCCGGGTGAAGGCCAAAGCAAAACCCAAGGCCGCTGTCAGACGAATCCCACGACGAGGTGTTCTACGACGACCAGCAGTTGTTCCTCCGGTGGGTGTGGCTCCTGGGGATCGGGAGGCCTGGTCGGATGGTGGACTGGCTTCATTGAGGGATGTTCCGCTCGAGCAGCTGGGCCGCGGTGTGAAGGTGGTAGTGGTAGAGGGATCCTACTTCACAGCACCTTGTCAAGCAGCGGGGGTTGTGGACCGGGTCGAGATCGATTCCGGTCAAGTTCACCTTCACGCCAACCTCTCGGGTACGAACAACGAGAACCTTCTCAAGTACGCCTCGGGGAAGCCCCGGGGGTTGGTCAGGATACATCGGTGCGATGCGCACTGTACAGGAGACCGAGTTGCCGAGGATTTGATCCATTGCGTGAAAGCCCGTCTGAGGAAGTCCGACGACTTGGAAGAGGGCTGGATCGACAACCTCGTCACAGTCGAGCCAGTCGACGACGATCTCAAGGACCTACGTGCCCGGGGAGAAGATCTACCAGCCGGCCGAGGTGCACCAGCAGTCGAGGCACGAGAGCGGGGCCGCTCCTTGGGAAAGAAGGACAAGAAGAAGAAGAAGAAGGACAAGAAGGGTCGAAAGCGCAAGAAGGGCGACCTCAGCTCCGAGGACAAGAAGCCCAAGGAGAAGAAGGTTGGGAGAGACAAGAAAGAGGACATTGCATCAAGGACTTCGTCTTCGGCTTCAACCACGGTCGACCTGAGTGGACGGAAGCCACGTTCGGCGTCCATCAAGCCTCTCAAGGCCCTCTATGCGGGGACAGGCCTCGACCCGAAGGAGAAAGTCCGAAAGAAGGTTGCAAAGAGAGCCCGGCGCAAGGGCCGCAAGGCCAAGGACACCAAGTCGGGGTCCTCAGAGGAGAACTCATCGAGCGGTTCAAGCAGTCACGATGGGGAAGCTCTGGATTCAACCCTCTTCGACCCGGACACCAGGCTACAGAAGATCGCCGAGTTCGCTCCGGGAGCTTTGGCTGCTCAAGCCTTACAGGCCATGAGATCAGGGCTCCTCCAGTCGATTGGGTCGGTCGATCGCCCGGGAGCATTGGCTCCTGTTGGCTTGGCGTATTTCCGGCAGCAGCTCATTCGCCGGTCTACAGGTCCAGTACAACGGGAACTTGTCAACCTATGCACAGCGCTGGATTGGTTGATCAGGGGATCCCCTGCACGGGCCGCCGATGTGATCGCCCAGAGGATCAAGTCGATCGAGAGCAGCCTCAGTGGATCTCACTGGTCAGTCTCCCAGAGGCTAGAAGTTTGTCCGCAGGACACTATGAGCCTTGCAGCAAAGGAGGAGCTTTCCTCAGCCCAGAGGGCTGCGGCCGACGAGGCAAAAGTGACTTATCTGGCAGGCTTGCCGGATGGCCGGCGCTCCAAGGGGAAGGGCAAGGAGAAAGACAAGGGGCAGCCGGTTCGCAAGGAGTTCGACAAGGGCAAGGGCCGCACCTCAGGGAAAGGAGACAGCAGGAAGCAGAAGGAAGAGCAGGCAGCGAAATAGCAGCCATCAATGCAGGCCCACTTCAGGGGCTTGGGACTATGAAGCCGGACCCGTCGGGACCTCGTGGCACTCTTGATGAAAGGCCGCTGATGGAGACGGGGCTGGCTAGCTTGAAAGTTTGTGACCCGCCTCGCCGTGATGGCAAGGTGGATGAGGCGGCTACGTCAGCCGTCGCCAGGAGCTATGATTTTCCGCCAGCTCCTCCGCCCTTTGATCTAGCGGGGGGAGCTCTTCAAGATTTGGACACTTGCCGACCGAGACTGAAAAATTCGTTTGAGCCTTTGGATCTTGATGGGACGCCGGTCGATCGAATCGGGGCAATCGTTCTTCAGAAACTCATGGAAGTTGCACCACTTCGCAGCAAGACCTTTGGTAGGGGAAAGGCCGCCTTCTTTCCTTTGCCTACTTCCATGGGTGTGTTGAGGAACTTGTGGCCTGACATACATGAGTTGACGTTGAATTGGGTTGTTTGTGTTACGGTTGGTTTGAATTCGTTTTGGGGCGAACAAGTGCTTTCGGAGGAGGACGTTGCACCGGGACAGAGTGCGTGCTTGGACATGATTCGGCAAGAGGTTGAACGGTTCTGTCAACTTAAAGTTCAAACTGTGGGGGTTGACTGGCAGGCATTCTTCTCTATCAAGGGCATCGACTACAAGGGAGACGAGGTCAGAGTGGCTCGGTGGATTCGTTGGGAGAATGTGTCCCCCGCGTTGCCCAAAGAGATAGGTCGTGTCCCACTTCACGAAGTTTGCACCCAGGGTTGCCGGGAGTATGTTCTGTCCTTTGACTCCTTTCTGAAGCCGCGTGAAAAATGGGGAAGTACAAAGGGCCCTCGGGTGATGGTAGAGGACGGAGCTTGGGGTGAGCTCTGCACGGGGTTGGTGTCGGCTGGAGTGTGTTGTTTCCTCGAAGAGGATCAGGTGTTCAACACGGGGAGCGGACCGCTCCTAAACGGACTGTTTGGAGTATCCAAGGAGGATTGGACTCCGGACGGGACAGAGATCTGTCGCCTGATTATGAATCTGGTGCCACTCAATAACATCTGTCAACCCCTTGGAGGTGACATTGACACTCTTCCTTCTTGGAGCATGATGTCACCCTTTTTCCTCCAGCCCAACGAGAACCTCCTGATCTCCTCTGAAGATGTGAAGTGTTTCTTTTATACGATGGCAGTGCCTAGGTGCTGGGTCAAGTTCCTGGCATTCAACAAACTTGTCCCTGATGACTGCCTTCCCGTGGACCTCAAAGGACGCAACGTCTACTTGGCCTCACAGGTGTTGCCTATGGGCTTTCTGAACTCGGTGAGCCTTGCTCAAAACGTCCATCGGAACCTTGTCAAGTTGTCGTCCCAGGGAGCGCCTCACGTCAACACTCCGGAATCAGAGCTGCGGAAGGATAGGCCCTTTACTGTGGCCAATCCCACGTGGCGGGTCTACCTCGACAACTACGACTTGCTGGAGAAGGTGCAGGCCACCGGCATGGTCGAGGTTGAGGGTTCGGTGCCGGCCGGAGTGCTGGCACTACGACATGAGTACGGGGTATGGCAAGTGCCTCGGAACGAGAAGAAGGCTGTTGAACGCTCCGCGCATGCGGAACTGCAAGGTGCCACGGTGGATGGAGTGCGTGGGATTGCCTTCCCTAAGGAGTCAAAGCTCACTAAGTACCTCAGCCTCGCGCTGACTCTGTGTGGGCAGCAGATGGTGTCACAGCGTCAGGTCCAGGTGGTGTGTGGCGGCCTCGTCTATTTCTCGATGTTCAGGCGCCCTACGCTGGGTTCGCTCAATGCGGTCTGGAAGTTCATTGAATCCTTCAAACCTGGTGGGGTCCAGTGGCGTCCACTGCCCGTTGATTGTCGCCTTGAGATCCTGAGGTTCATTAGTTTCCTGCCCTTGATCCGGATGGATTTCAGGTTGCAGATGCATCCCATGGTAACGTGCAGTGATGCGTCCACGACAGGAGGAGGAGTTTGCCGTTCTGAAGGTCTCACACCGCTTGGGAGCCTAGCAGCACAGGGAGAGTTGCGGGGGCAGAAGCCATTGCCTCTGGTTGAGCACGGGGTACTCGTTATTGGGTTGTTCGATGGCATTGGTGCCATTAGGGTCGCAATGGATCTACAGGACGTTGAGGTTTTAGGATACATCTCAGTTGAGAAGAACCCTCAAGCCAGGCGAGTGGTAGAGGCACACTATCCTGGGGTGGTGCATGTTGAGGACGTGACGCACATCTCCGAGGAGTTGGTTCAAGAGTGGAGCCTACGTTTCTCTCAGTGCAGTTTGGTGGTGCTGGGAGCTGGGCCCCCTTGTCAGGGGGTCTCAGGACTTAACGTTGATCGGAAGGGCGCACTCCGTGATGAAAGGTCGTCCCTGTTCACCCACGTCTCCAGGGTGAGGGAGCTCATCCGCAGGTACTTCCCTTGGGCGCAGGTCCATTGCCTGATGGAGTCAGTCAGCTCGATGGACGCTACCGACAGGCGGATTATGTCGCATGACTTTGGCTCTGACCCAGTTCACATCGACGCAGGGGAAATATCGTGGTGTCATCGACCTCGCTTGTACTGGACTACATGGGATTTGTGCGAGGGCATTGGGGCAACGTGCGACCTCTCGGGTGAGGTCACTGTCTGGCACCTCGTGGCAGAGCAGCCAGTTGAGGAGGTTTTGGAGCCAGGGTGGACTAAGGCGGTGCACAGCAAGCCTTTCCCCACCTTTACAACAGCAAGACCTTCGGTGCAGCCAGGGCGAAAGCCAGCAGGGATCGCACATTGTTCCGAGGAGGAGCTGTGTCGTTGACGTAATGATCTTCATCGCTTCCCGCCATACCAGTATCAGCAGATCCACTCGGTTGTCAACAAGAAAGGCCACTTGCGTGTTCCTTCGGTCGCTGAGAGGGAAGTCATGCTGGGGTTCCCCCTCCATTACACAGTCCCATGTTGCGGCAAGTCGGAACGCAAAGGTGCCCACCACTCTGATGTTCGGCTCACTCTACTTGGGAATACTTGGAGCGTGCCTGTGGTGGCGTGGCTGCTCAATCAGCTGCTCTCTAAGTTGGGCATCTCCCCCGAGCTGAGCCCCCAAGCCATTGTCTTGAAATGTCGTGCCGATGGCAGCACGGCGCTCCAGGGACGGCTGGTACGTATGCCGATTCGGAGCGTGCCTCCATCTTCGGGAAGTGAAGCGCAACTTGCGTTCAAATTGGGCAACCTCATCAGCCTCAAGGGCGAGGACATCCTCATTTCGACCCCGAGTACGCAACTGGTTAAGTTCCATCGGTTGCGCGCGTCAGTTCCTTCACGCTTGTGGCGTTGGCGCATTGTCTCAGGGTGGAGATGGACGAGAGGCCGCGAGCACATCAACTCGCTCGAGCTCAGAGCGATTCTCAACGCAGTTCGCTGGAGGGTTGAGCGTCAGCAACACCAAGGAGTGCGGATGCTGCGTTTGACAGATTCACTGGTATGCCTACATGCCCTTACGCGGGGAAGGACCAGCTCTAGGAAGCTACGGAGCTCTATGTCTCGGATCAACTCATTACTGCTTTGTTCTAACTCTCAGATCCTTTGGGGTTACGTGCACACAGATAGCAACCCTGCTGACAAGCCAAGTCGGTGGGGTACTCGCATCCGCGGTAAGCAGAAGCATGCCTAAGCGTGTGTTGGAGGGTGGAACTCAGCAGGATAGAGCAAAGATCCGTAGACAGTTAGGAACGCTCCGCCAGTTGACAGTGCAACCAACTACTCGTAAGCGCTATGACAAGGCAGTTGACCAATTCCTCGGCTTTTTGCGCAAAGAAAGCATCGCATTGCCCACCAACAAGACGAAGCTTGACCCCTTGGTCTGTGACTACCTGGAACACCTCTGGGCCACAGGGCAGGGCCGGGGCCTTGCATGTGACACTTTGGCTGGGTTACAGGACCTCCAACCTGGACTTCGTACCCACATGCCGGCAGCCTGGAGGCTCCTGAAGACGTGGCAGACAAATGAGATACCCAACCGCGCCCCGCCCTTGCCGGAGCATCTGGTCCATGCCATGGCGGGGCGGGCAATTTTTAACGGTTGGATCTCCTTTGCTGTCTCGTTACTTTTGGGGTTCTACACCATGTTGCGCACTGGCGAGATCTTGGGTGTTGTGTCAAGCCATGTGGAACTTGGGACAGGCACTGGACAAGCCCTCGTAAACTTGGGGTTTACTAAGGGTGGCAAACGCCACGGGGCTGCTGAAAGCGTAGTCCTAGGATATGAACCCGTGGTGAAAGTTTTAAAGGCGTGGAAACAAGCCGGTTCCCCCAGTACTCGGCTTACGCCCTCCCCACCAAAGTGGCGGGCCTTGTTCAATTCTTGCCTTGAAGGCCTCCAAATTCAGGACATGGGGTTCCGACCCTATTCCCTCCGTAGGGGAGGGGCCACGTTTTGGTTCCAAAAGCACCAAAACTTAGACCGCATACTTGTTCAAGGTAGGTGGCACACACAGAAAAGTGCCCGTATCTACCTCAACGAAGGATTGGCTGTCCTCAGTCAACTCAAACTTCCGACCTCTGATGCACGAATACGTCCCTTTTTGACTGTTTGTAGTAGTTTTTTCCGTCAGCCGCGAATCACGTCACTTGAGCCTCCTGCCAAAGGCGGAAGGGCAGGGGGGCTTGGAAGGCACCCAAAGAGATCCAGAAAAGGCAAGGGAAAAAGCGCTTTTCGTTTCGTTCCCCTTTTTTCGACACCCACGGTCAGTGCTTGATGCCTACTCAGTCTCGGAGGTGTGGCTCGGCTTAAGTAGGTCAAGCAGAGCGGATCCCACCACCCAGGGTGTGGCCGGGTGTCTGGGACCGACTCTTCACTGGTAGGGGTACCGTGATCTGACTGTTGAGGTGTCATGACTAGTTGAGTTTATCAAATTCTGACAAAATCGCTGCGAAGTGGAACAAAAGAAATGAGTGCTGCATCTTTATATATATAATTCAATCAGGTGTACGATATATCCAGGCAAAGCACAGCGGTACATCAAGTTGCTGCTGTTGATTGGACACTTAAGTTTGTTTCTTGTGCCGGTGCTCCACTTTGCTTTCCAGGATTGGTGCGCTGAACTTCACTTGGATGGGTGACTTGGATCTATTGCCGCCTACTTCTACAGTGTCAAATGAATGTTGACCGGAAAATGCAGATGTTCTCGAGCAGAAGGGAGCAGGCGCTGTAGCAGTTTAGTTACAGCAGTGCCACATGCCCTGTGTGTTTGTGCATCACTTCAAGAGAGTATGTGGGGCAGTTCTTGCCGAACTGGGTGGCTAGGATGCGTGTTCATGTGACCTGAACCAGGTTTTTTGATTTTGTAGGCGAGACTTCTTTACACTTTACACTTTACACTTCATGATTCATGATTATATGCTGTGTATATATAGATGCTTATCTCGTCTCAACTTTGGAGCACCATGCCTTGCCAAGGTTCATCAAGGCCTTTCAGACCAACGATGCCTTTCTGCGAAAAGTGTCTAGTGCAACAGGTCCGCCATTGGCTGATCGGCTTTCGAGCTGCCCGAAATGTCAATCAAGCAACAGGGGTGCCTACACACACACTCGAGATATTGCGTACTGAACTGATCGCCTAAAGCCCTGAAGAAGCCTAAGCGGAAAAATTGCCTGGGTAAAACAGGTAGTATGTAAGGCGGGCGGACTATCCCTGGAAGCTCCAAGTCATCAAAAGAAAACTCCAAGTCATCAAAGGAAAGCTCCGAGTTCGTGAAGACGAGTGAACGACGAGCGCTTGTTTGCAGAACTCAACCAGGTGCAAAGGCCGACAATGGCCGACAATCTTGTTGTAGTTAAAATGGGGCCCAGGGAAATGAGAAGTCATCACGAAGCAGGTACGTGGATTCTGCGTCCAGAATCCATTTAATGTCAGTGAATCGTAACAGCCTCTTCGTTCGCCGCCACAAGTCCTAAAAAGCCAGACGGTTCCCTGTGACTCCAAGGCTTCACACTGGAATTTGGGTTTGGCATTTTCCGGCTCTGCTCCACCAGCACACCCAAGGCGTCTGCGCCTACTTGCATGAGGTGGTGAGACTGAGGCCAACAGTGCTGGTCAAGCCAGTTTTGCTTGAGGTTGGCCAAGAATCATGAGAGGACGAGAGGCCTTCAAGGCTGGGTTCTGGGCACAAGCCGAAGCCTTTTGAACCTGTCACACTACCCATACGAGTTCCTATCGGTGGGGGGTGCCATCATCGTCTCATGCCTTTGGCTTTGTCCGGGTGACCACTCAAGAGAGGCTGATTGATTGGTTGCGATTGGTTGCGGACATCACCTTTGTGTACAGGATTCCTACTTTGACGGAGCTGCATATTGTCTTCTCTGGGGCACCTATCTCAGTACCTCCACTCTGGCGGTGGAAAGGCAAGCAGTGATTTTTGCAGCGCTGCAGACCACTCTCCTGTGGTTCTTCAATTTCCTGGAGATCTTACAGAGAGCGGTGTTGGAATGCAGTTTTTTGCAACCCCGGATTTCAAGGCGGTCTTTGGCGCGAAGCTTTGCTGGCCGCAGGTGGTTCCATAGATAAGGAGGCCCTTGTCGAGTCATCGGGTTTTTGAAGCTGACGTGAACCTTCAGGATGAAGCTACTGGTGCTCCCTTCGCTGCCAGTTTCAAGAGCGATGCGTTGGTGGCAGACTTCTCAAACGACATCCTGAAGTACCTCTGTCACGCGCTCCACAGGCGGCAGCTGAGCTGGTGGCCCTAGTTGAAGGTGCAGTTGTCTCACATCAGGACAATCGAGCCATCTCGAGTTATCCGCTTTGCCGCTCTAGGTTGATTACGCTGACCCTTCGAATTAGAATGGTTGACTCGAATAACAGCAGGTGTGGCTTGGGAAAGGAGCGAAGACATCCAGCTGTCCCTGGGCGTGGGCGGGGAGTCTTTTCTATGAAGGGGACATGGGCTGGGACTTGTGATCGCTAGCTGGCGCCCAGATTCTCCATGTACGTGATCGGTCCACCTACCAGCTTGCTTGGCCATGCAGAGTTTCTCGACTTTGGTTCGTCTCCTCAATGTCCTAACCAATGGGCTTTGACTCCCCTCTTAGATTTCCGGATGAAGGACCTGGCGTTAGACTTCCTTTAGCGCTTAGATTTTTGGCTTGGCTTTTGCCTGTCGCTGGGGTGCTGCTGCTTGCTTCCTTGCCCGGGCGCGCTGCCATGGTACTGAGGAACGCTGCAGAAGCGGCGAGAGCCGCAGAGAGATTGGCAAGTGCTCCCTCTTCAGAGGGAGCCACGTTGCTGAAAAGTATCGTTGGTCACAATTTGAAGCATAGATACGGTTGTGCTTTGTACCACGCAGGCAAGCCATACAAGCAATTGGCGACAACGAAGAAGCCCGCCGTTAGGCGAATGATGCCGGGAGCTTGGGACCTGGCGTTCTCCTACACCGGTGTTGCTTGAGCTTCAACTGGCGCTGGACTTCTTTTCTGGCTTCATCTGGCTCCATAGCATTAGCCTGGAGGGGCGTTGATTTCACAGTTGCTTTGGATTGCTGGCCATTCGAGAGCCAGACGCGAGCAGAACTGGTGCTACGCACCAGGGCGCCAAACTGGATATACCAGATCTTTTCAGTGTCGTGGATTTCTGTTTGGGACATTTGCCTCCAAGCGCTTTGCTTTGACCTTGGTCGGGCCAGACTTTCCGAACCCGCTTTCGTGACGCGCTGGTTGCGTTGCAAGTTCCAATACAGAAGTACGGCGGCATGAAGGCTTGAGGCGCCACTTGGCATCTTCAAAAAACAGAAGATGGAGAGTATATTGGAAGCAAGGGCAGGAGGATTTCTGCTAAGATCATGGAATCCTAAATACAGGAAACTGCAGCACTCCTGTATTTAAAGAAGGTTCCACCTGCTTCGCAACCCCTTTGCCTGAGCCTTGCTCCTTCAGCCTGGAGAGTTCTCCTTCAGCAAGAAGACGTAGGAAGGACGGATGAGCCGTTGAACAGGAACTGCGAATCCCCATGCTGCATCTCAAGCTCTACCCTCCGCTCCCGGACCCTTCACTTGCTTTGGAGACTGTGTGGTGGCACCAACCTGTGGTGTTGCCCTGTGGAGCCCTATGGATGGAGAACAGGTCCTGTGCACACATGGGTGAGTTGTTATTCCTGTAGTAAAAATCAAGCGCGCATGTGATTTCAAGATTCGCCAAAAAGAAGGGCGAGTAGACGAAAAACACTTTGCCCTTGTGCGTGAGGCCTATCAGTGGACGAGTTCAAAAGCTTGCAGGCATTCTCCAATCCTTGTGTTGGCTGGAGAAGAAAAGCCAAGAGCTGTTGTGGACTCTTGCTGTTCTGCACAGGCATCTGATTTGCGGGAACTCTTTTCTGCTCTGGATATGGATGTGTCTGGAACAGAGTTTTGACCGCAACAAGCGCAGAAAAACATCCACTTCAACGTGAGGGTTGAGCGAAGAAAAGTACTTGCTAGGGTATCACTAGTTGTGCTGTGAACCACTTGCTGACGCTGTATTGAGAAGAAGTCAGGTATCCTTCAGCGAATTCGTTCAAGGCGCTTCAATCCACATTCTGCAAGTGGAATATGCTAGATGGTAGGAACCTTTTGGACCTGTTGATGCGCCCTTTTTCGCGCGAACTTTACTTCAATCAAATGGAGGACTTGCAGCGATTCGATTGGCTCATGAGACAGAGGTGGAGGCCAGATAATGTAACTCCAAATGCGCACAGAGCACAAGTTGCAAGATTCTGAAACTTCCCACAGTCTCATCACCTCTCTTGCCAGGAAGCTCTGATCCAAGCCGAAGCCAAGCAACAATCAGCCAAGTTGGTGAAGGAGAAGTGACATCGTGTGAGGCATTATTGACATGTTGGTTTCAAACATCAAAGCAAACAAATCGTTAGGATGTGATGGCGACCAATATCCCAGAAGGAAAAGATTGCATAAAAGCAGAAGACTTAAAGGAGTAGCTTGGCATCCAGACAAACAATCAACATGCCCATGTCGCACTGTGAGTCTAAACACTATTTCTACAACTACCGTTTGGACTTGAAACTCTTGACTCTTGCCCTACTTTGTTTGTGAGTCTGCCCAAGGCTTTTGCTGTTTCTTGACAGTAAAAAGTGGACACCAGCCAAGCTCCACAAACTTGTTACCGGACTGCCGTGGGCGCAAGATGGCTCATTGCCCCTTGGTGTCTTGGCTACAAGACGACAAGCTCTGCTGCAAAACGTCAGACCGCTCTTGAAGCAATGGCCAACTTGGTACACTTAGACCCTTAATTTTAGACTCTAGACATCTCTAAACCCTTTGTTTGGTTTTGCCTCTTGAGAAAACTCAGGCCAACTGATTGAACTTTTGCAGCTTGGCCCATCTTGGCCGATGTTCTCGATATATAAATACATAAATATATATATATATACAAATATATCAAGGGTGAGATTGTCAGGAAATTGTTGTTGTGAAGACAAGCAAATCAAGATCATGCGATGGTTTTGTGCCAAGGTATTAGATGATCCAGCTGCTTGCTTGGAATCAACAAGATTTTTGTTGCTGGAACCCAATCACATATCTATATATAAAACACACATATATACATAGAGCTTGCATGTTTGCTTTTATGTCTATTGGCTATTGGCTGTAAAAGTGGGTTAAATTAACAAAGATGCTTGAGGTTTTTAGGCACCAAGTGTACAACCGTGCTTGCCAGCTAAGAAGCTTGAGAAGATGTTTAGTGAAGACAAAGCAGAACGCGTTTGACACGGCTTTCGAAGCAGGAAGCGGTGAGATTCCTCAGGTAAAAGCGCGCGTGAAACACGCTCGGCGCTAGCGACTTTTCAATGCTTGTGAGAAGCACTTAATTCGTTCAGCTAAGCTCTAGCCCTAGGCACAGGTGCACAAGCTCCAGGCATCCTAGGCTTTTAGGCCAGGAAGCCTCGCCCAAGGCGAGAACGTCGAAAGGCCATCATATTTTTCTCCGGCTGAATAAAAGACTGAAAGACCTTGGGCAGATTTTGCATGTGTTGACCTCTTGTTAGAATGGCGTTGTTTGTGAGAGTCCTGTTGACAGCACTCCAAACACACTCTGCAAACGCTTTTAAACACAGGTCTCAGGTGTTGTCTTCATTCAGAACAGGGTTGGCCTAATCAACAGCTTTTGCATGGGACCAACATTGAAACCGTGCATGAGGGTGAACACTGTCAGTGCAAATTAGTCCGAGGTGTACAAGAGAGCTGACACTTTGGCCCACAACGAGTGGTAGCCTCAGTCATGTGAACAAGATGGTGTGAAAGCACTCCATCAAATGAATTTAGTCACCCCGCTCTCAGCGATAGTATAGGTCATTCCTTTCCCTCCTGTATGGTTTCATGCCGCTTTAAGGCATAGGAGTCCAGACTGGAAATGGTTTCCATACAACAGACTGACTGCGATTTTCTGTGAGGCCGTACCTGTATGGCCTGCCGCCAATGTATGTCGGATACCAAGTTGAGTTTGGTTCTTTGTCTGAATATGCCGCTGCCACGATGTGGTGAAGGGCTCACGGGCAAAGGAAGAAGGCCAAAGAAAGGAATGACGACGTACAGTGTACAGGAAGAAAGGTCCAAATGAATACAGTAATATAAAGAAACATAACGAGATAAGAAGAAAATGTGTATATATATATAGATATACATAATATAATATATATATATACACACATTTATAGAGTTTATTTTTTGTTACTTCTTTTTACGACGGCTCTATATTTGTTGGCTTTACGTTTGGGTCAGCTTCACGGACTTCTTTGCAAGGTCCGTGTTGCCTTCACCTGCGCAGTACTAGCATTTGTTGCGCAGATGGTCCGACTGCCAATGAGCCGAGAGATTGGAGTTTTCAAACGTTGGAGTCTTTGAATGGTAGGAGCCTTTGGAGCCTTTGAAACTCCCTCCTTCATGAGTTTGACTTTCTTGTTGAGAATTGTACAATGACTCGACACGTTGACACTCAAGTTGCAAAGCTTTGGACTGGATTGCGCTAGTAGGTGGAGGCCATCGCTATTAGGTTGGAGGCCATTCCTACTAGGTCCTAGGTTCCTTTTGCTATTGGGTTGGAGGCCATCGAACTTGACTTGTCCAGTTTAACGCTCCGGGTGCGCACTTTTTGCTTTCAGGTCTTCTACATTGGCCGAGAGTGGTCGATTCACAAACAGGTCCTGGAGTCCTGCTGCGTTCTGTTGGATGTTTTTGGCTGAGCCTTTCTCAATCCAGGCTGGGTTCCAAATGCGACGAGTATGCAGCTGAGCTCACTGAAGTAGATCCGAAGGGTATTCATTTTTTTGTGTCTTTGGACTGAAAGATCCTGATAGAATCTGATAGACAGGTTCCTCCCTTTTGGAACAACCTATTCAATATCTCAATGTGCCAAGCTCAGTTTGTCAGCATATTGGGGTTGGCTCACCGATCAACCCCAAGGATCTTCATGTATCTGGCAGTTGTCGTCACAGTCTTTGGGCTGATTGACATGCCTGCCCCCCGGATTCTGAAGACAAATCTAAGCTCGACATGTTGGGTGCCGAATCTATGAGTTCTGAAATGGCTTTCAGGCAGGAGCCTTCACAGTTGGTGGAAGAAGGAGGTGACTCAGATAATGCAGCATATCAGACAGCATTTTGTTCAGTTTTCTCGTTTGTCAAGACTTGATTCACACAATATTCTACATTTTTGAGTTCCGGTTCAAGGAGCAGGGATTCAAAGTAAGTGTGTGCAGACTTGCAGCGGTGTGGTTCAGGTGCCCTGCCGTTATCGGCAGGCATTTTCTGCTCAAATGCTTTGCTCGTGCTGTATTTGGCTGTGTGCGCCAGATGCTGCAGCTCTTGCTTTCTTGCTTCTCCTCCTGGAATGATCCAATCAATGCAGGTACGCAGCTCTTCAAATTGTAGCCTGCTGAGCTACGAATGTTCATAGCGCCAGATCAGGCAATGATTTCAGAGCATAGATGTTTTACGTGGTCAAAAGCCTGCTTTCTTTCCATCTAAATCTGGTCAGTGCTTTGTGGATTCCAAGAACGATTCCATCGGCTGAGGCTAAAACCTTGGATGTTGATTTCCGTGAACGAGGCTGGAATAGAAATTTGATTCCAAGAAGGTATTTACTGTATCCATCTGAGCTCAATGCCAGGCACTTATCCAGCCTCCCTCTTTGACCCATCGAGGTACCACTTCAACCCTCTCTCTTGAAACGAAAGAACAGATGCACGTTGAACTTGTGTGAGATGCTCAGCAATTCTAGCTTCCAGCTTCAAGTCAACAACAAAGCTTCCTTGGAGTCTTTCTTGGAGGGTTCTACGGATCGGGAACATGTTCCAGATTGACCAGACGAACAATACTCCATTGTGCTCACCAAACAACCCAACCACGATGGATTGCAGGTACGTGATTGAGGTCTTGAAGATGGCCGCTGCTAGTGTACAGACAGCCCCTATGTACGGGTTCCTTACAGCTTTGACTTGCATGTAACCACGTACCTGACTCATGCATGGTGTGATAACGCAAGCACCGGGGTATGCGCCACAGGTGTATGCGTTGTTTTGTGAATGTAATGTATCGATGCTATGTGTGACACATTGTGACGCCTTGCCGCCCTGCCTTACCGGTGCAGACATACCAATAGAAAACAGCTATGCCAGGTGTGTACAAAATCCCACAAGCTGCAGTGCATCAGACACTGTACCAAGCATTTTCGTTAAACAACTCAAGCTTGCTCCAGGAAGACCTGGTCGATTTTTTGGGGCCCACTGGCAGCCCCCATTCATTACTTCCCAGCAGCACACATGTGAAACATGTTTGCGGAACAATGGATGGAATTTGCAGTTGCCTAAATGAACCCTCCACTTGGCTTCCATGCGCTTTGGCCCCTCTGTCTAAGACAGAGTGACAGTGCCATGGACTGAATGGAACAGCGCGAATCTGACCTTGCGATCGTGTGCCGCTTGGCCCACGAGCACTTGAGCGAGGGAGCCAAAGGGAACGACGTTCTGAGGTGCCTGCCCTCAGATCCAATCAGAGACAATCAATTCTGCCTTCTCAAACATTGTGACATGTACAATTTCTTATGCCACTTTTGCCTGATGGAAAGGCGATTGCCACGAGACTTTCGGAGTGGGGTTGACGAAATTGTCAAGGATGTCTACTCATGCCATGTGGTCCTTGTGCTGCTTTTCCTGTGCAATCGCACTCTCACAATCCAGCTAGTGCAGGACATCCACACCAGCATAGAAGTGCCGCCCTTGTTCGCAAACAGTGGTGGAGACACTCGTCCATAGTCTGTTGAGCAGAAATGAGTGCTGTAGTGAATTTCATTGTTTCGCACAGTTTTGATGCAAGCCCTTTTCAAGTCAATGCAAGTCAGCGCTGGCAAGTAACAAGTAAGGGGACACCTAGCTAAATAGGACAGGGTGGCAAATTTCTCAACCAGCCACATGATTGAGTGTCATAGTCATGCTTCGATCAATTTGCGCAGTGTCAGCTAAGCATCGTTGAATTGTGACAGCTGTGCATTTCCCACATTAAATGCGAAGACTACAGCGACGGAGTCAAAGTGCTAGCTTTGCTTTTGGTGTCGCCTTTGCACAAATTGTGTTTCAGATTATCTCACAGCTTTTGAGCCGTATTGTGCTGTTTGACCAGCCAAGACTCTGTCCTTCATTTTCCGAAAGCGGGTACCTTAGGACTTTGAGCTGTTTTTTGCTTTTGAAGTCCTCGAACGTCGAACTTTGTGAGCGCTTTTGTATGTTTATTTTTCTGCGCGTTTGTCACAACAAAATCGCGAAAAGCGACAGAAACTAGGCTTGTGGGCTACCAGACGCAGCAAAACCATCACCAACCTCCGGGTCGCCTACAGCGTTTCACAAGCTTCAGTGCTCGAGAAGCGAACACCTGTGACAACTTTCATGCAAAGCGGGTTGTGTGTGAGCTGCTGAGACTTGGATAGCAAGGCAGGTAGCTTTCAAGACCTTGGAATTATATATGTTTTGCTTTTGTTCTTTTTGTAACGCTGGTACTTTTCCTATGTTTCACCAGGAAGACCTGGGCTTGCTGCAGTCCGGGAGCTGCCAACGATGACAGTATCAATCCTGAGGAGATTGATCCATATTTGAGTTTCCTGCGTCATCTTATGTACTACCACGACAGATGGTCAGCCAAATTGTGGGGCTCTGATGCCTTTATGGAAATTATGATCCAGACCATCCGAAAATTGGAAAGCTTGAAGCGAGATACAGCAGATGCCAGGCAAAAATACCTGCGGGTTTTGGAACATATTTACGAAGCATCCAATGAGCTTCTTGACCATGCGTTGCGGGTGACTATGCTGGTCGTCAGTGACCAGCATGCAGAGTTTGAGCAGCTCGTGACGAAAGAAGGTCCGATGACCTTGAAGCTTCTCAGTCAACGTGCAAGCGACATACGGAACAACTCACAGTTCTGGTCCTCAGATTTGGGCCAGGTTCTGCACTCAGCATTGGTACGGGCAGATCCACAACGCTTTAAACCCACTGGGACTGGAGACATTGAAAATGCTACGGCTGCTCGTGTTTGGAATCTGTGGACAGACGAGCTTCGCACTGTCAAAAGGTACGAATACTCAAGCGTGGAAGAAGCACGACTTGTCTTTGAGCAGTGCAGGTGCTGCACAGTCCTAGTCGGTCCAGAAGGCAAAATGCAGGAGAAGAGTCTTGCAGCTGCTACCAGCCAGATGCTCTCCAAGGCAAGGCCTGAAGAGGTACCGGATACAGGCTTTAACTCCACCTAGCGATGGCATCTGACCTACTAGCGATGGCCTCCAACCTAATAGCGATGGCCTCCAAACCTACTAGGGATGGGCAATGAACATGATACAGGCTTTAACTCCACCTACTAGTGATGGCCTCCAATCTACTCGCGATGGCCAATGAATAAGATACAGGCTTATGTAACTCCATCTAGTAGTGATGGCCTTCAACCTACTAGCGATGGCCTCCAACCCAATAGCGATGGCCTCCACGATAATTTCGATGTCTTCCAACCTACTCGTACTAGCGTTGGCGTCCAACCTATTATCGATGCCCTGCAACCTACTAGCGATGTGCAATTATATAATAAGACACAGGCTTTAACTCCATCTACTAGCAAATGGCCTCCAACCTAATAGCGATGGCCAATGAATAAGATAGAGGCTTTAACTCCAGCTACTAGCGATGGCCTCCAACCTAATAGCAATGTCCTCCAAGCTAATAGCGATGGTCTCCAACCTAATACCGATGGCCTCCAACCTAATAGCTTTGGCCTCCCACAAAAACAGCGATGGCCTCCCACCTAATAGCAGTGGCCTCCAACCTAATAGCGATGGCTTCCAACCTAATAGCGATGGCCTCCAACCTAATAGCAATGGCCCCCAACCTAATAGCGCTGGCCTCCAACCTAATAGCAATAGCCTCCAACCGAATAGTGATGGCCTCGTAACCTAATAGCAATGGCCTCCAACGTACGAGCGATGGCCTCCAAGCGACAATGAATAAGATACAGGCTCTGTGTGCTTCCCTGCAGTTTCAACAAATATACTTCGATGACGTTCTTCCATGCCGAAGGGCCGTTTTCTAGTGGGGCTGGGTTTTAATTCTGCCTTGCAGTAGTTTTTTCCGCCCTGTTTCTGCGCACTTGTTTGTTGTGCACGCCTTCTGCCCTGCAGAGTTTCTTTTCCAGCCTGCCTGGTTTCTTTTCCACCCTGCGAGGGCTTCTTTCTGCACTGCAGAGGGTTTCTTTTCCACCCTGCAGGGCTGCTTTTCCACCCTGCGAGGGTTTCTTTTCTGCTGTGCGGAGGTTTCTCCACTGCTTTTTCACCCGGCGAGGGTTCTTATTCACCTTGCAGGGTTTCTTTTCCACTCTGCAGGTGTTTCTGTTTCCACTGTGCCGGGTTTCTTGTCCATCCTGCAGGGTTGCTTTTCCACCTGGAAGAGTTTCTTTTCTGCCCTGCAGGGGTTTCCTCTCCACCCGGCTGAGGGTTGCAGGGGTTGTTTTTTGCACTGCAGAGGGTTTCCTTTCGCGCCCCTCCAGGGCTGCTTTTCAACTGCAAGCTGCAGGGTTGGGTTCCTTTCAACCCGACCTGTCGGGGTCTTTCAAGAGTTGCTTTTCCACGTTGCAGGGCTGCTCCTCTACACTGCAAGGGTTTCTTTTCTGCCTACACAGGACAGGGTTGAAACAGAACCCAGGCAGGGTGGAAAAAGAACCTTACACAATTGATGTCGGCCAGTAATTAGCTGATTTAGTCACAACTATAGGGTTTCTTTTCCACCTGTTGATCTAACCAGCCGTGCATTCACGGCTTCCCCGCTGACACACTGGTCGAGTCAGTGAAAAGAAACGCTAAAATGACATGAATTCGAAACTAATTGGACAGCACCACACGCCAGTCAAACCGCCAAGTAGAAAGGTGTTGCGAACACCCATCTTGAAGAACAGCAGCAAATGCAAGAAGATCATCATTGCAAAAGAAAGGGCGGGCAGCATACACAGCACCTTTAGGTATGGCCTTGCCACATTTATGGATGAGTGTAGATTCGTGGCGGCCCGGAATTCTTGTTTGTCCTTCGAAACTGTACAGCCGAGCACAGACACGTTTGACAACCTGCAAAACGTTCTTGAAGGTTCGAAGAATCATGCTGCAAGCTTTCAAGTGTAAACCCTTTGTGAATGAACACCGAAAAATATATGTTCAACAGTGCAATGTATGTTCAACATATGACACCGAAAAATCTTCACCAACCTGCCAATGTAGTGTTTGAAGGAAGGTAAACACAGTGGCAATGTCAGAGCTGGAAAAAGGCAGGGTCATATCCTTGACGTCTGGAAGCAGCCCTGTAAACCGATGTGAAAAAGAATCAACGGATGAATCCCAACTCCACAAAGGAAACCGCGCATGGTAGTCCGGAGTCGTAGACGTCAACTGACTGCCTTCTTTCGTCGCAAAGTGGTCTTTCACTTGACAAGTGGAGCCGATTATCTGATTCAAACGCGCAAGTTCAACCTGTCTCTTGCACACCATGCGCTCTAGTGAAGAAAAATACCTTGGTCAATGACAGCATGTGCATGTGCAGCGCGTTTGGCCTCACGATCAGCAACAATGTTGCAAAGGACCTGCTGTCGTGTGAGCCCAAAATTTTGAGCCATCTGTTCGGTGATGTCGTGCAGGTCAATACCATCGCAAGTAGTATGTGCTTTTTGCCATTCCAACACAATAGGATCAGGATGGACAGCACGTCGTTTCTGCCAAACACGAAACAAAATAGACCACCATGGAGCGAGGCTCCAAGATGGGCTAACACGCCCGTGGACTTTCATTTGTGCAAACAAGTCAACAATTGTAAGACTGTCAGTAAAAATCTTCACAGGGCTACCTGTGATGGCAACAGCTCTCATAATCGCAAAGAGTTCCGCTGTGTATGATGTGAGCAACAAATGCTGAACTGGCCCTGAGTCAATGCATGTCATTTGTGCATTGACAACTGCATACCCGGCAGCTGTCAGCCAAAAGGATGGCTGCATGATGATGGAACCATCAGTCCAAAGGTGTACCTGAGGCGCCGTCGTTTCGAATGCTACTTCACATGTTGGATCCCACTGAGCGACTGTGAGTCTTACATTGGCAACAGCAACAGGATGTTCAAAAATGCCAAGATTTTGATAGTTGGGGCCAAAATCATGGGAAACACAAGCTTGCAAGTCTGGAGGACAAGCAAGGCACTCACGAACAATGTGGGTTAAGGATTCCTTTTCATTTCCACAAAATCTGCAATCTGATGTGTCACAAAAACCAGCTGCGAATCGGCGATCATTGGTAATGGTACACCCAACAATTTGCGAGTCGAAGTGAGGCTTAAGACTAGCACAAGGATCACTAGGCTTAGAGTGGAATTTCCACCTGTTGAAAAAGAATCCAGGCAGGGTGGCAACAGAACTCTGCACAATGGGTTCTGGCCATGAGGTTCTTTTCGCAAGGTGAACAAGAAACCCTGGACAGGGTCCAAAAAACCTGTGTGTGACGTGTGACGAGGTGGAAATAGAACCCAAACAAGGCAGAATAAGAACCATGCCTTTCGAGTGACTCTATTCATTTTTGGTGGGTATCGAATCCTGCAGGTCTTGCAAGAGGACAGCACTCTTCGCGAACTCAATCGTATCCAAGATGCATACTCTGGGAACGGTCATATCATGAAAATGGAGAACAGCTCTTGTGGCTTGCTATCTCAGTGAGGCTCTGTAGGCTTGCAGAAATGACATGCTGTCAGACAGTCACTCTTCCCTCCACATGAGGGGTGAATTTTGGTATGTCAAAACATGATTAAACTCTTCTCTCTATATATATACACGAACTAGACGACGAGTGGCCCGAAAGCATTTTTCATCACGTAGGAAGTCAGAGTGTGAGTTATCTGTTAAGTGTTCAGTGTGAAGTGTTTAAGTCGAGTGAGTTGAGGTAGTGTGTGGGTCTCTGTGTGTGTATCTGTGTCCGTGTGTATATGAGTCTCTGTATGTGTGTGTGTGTCCGAGTAAGTTGAGGCAGTGCGTGGGTCTCTGTGTGTGATATGTGTGTAGGAGTCCCTGTCTGTGTGTGTGTCCATGTCTGCTGCTGGTGAAGGTCTTCACTGTAGATATAGTGAACGAAGTAGCGCGCAGGCCTCCCAACCCCCCACCGACGGCCAAGCGGTGACAGCCCAGCTCATCGTCGTGAGCATTTGAGCTGCTGGTAAGGGGAGAAGCAGCGTGCACGCCTCCAGGAAATCTCACTGAAAAAAACGAGCTGGAATGAAGACAGAAAATTGCCGAGGCAGGTACGCAACAAGTTTGTCGAAGCAGTGACCTGTCAGAGGAGATGCGTCCATCGATATACGATCAGAGGTAACGTTTCCTTCACTCCAGGACACAGCTTTTCTAGGATGTAGTTAACCAACCACTATGCTTGTCATTGACTAAATGACTGTCTCCAAGAAAACGTGACGAAGTAGCATGAGGTGACACACAGCAGGCACTGCAGATGTTTAGCGTAGTCTCGCTGTTCGGCTCGCGACCAGTATTATGGTGAACGAAGTACTGTAGCGCGCAGGCCTCCCAAACCCCCCCACCGGCGGCCAAGCGGTGACAGCCCAGCTTATGGTCGTGAGCATTTGAGCTGTTGGTAAGGGGAGAAGCAGCGTGCACGGCTGCAGGAAATCTCACTGAAAAAAGTGAGCTGGAATGAATATAGAACATTGCTGAGGCACGCAAGAAGTTTCTCGAAGCAGTGACCTGTCAGAGGAGATGCGTCCATCGATATACGATCAGAGGTAACGTTTCCTTCACTCCAGGACACAGCTTTTCTAGGATGTAGTTCACCAACCACAATGCTTGTCATTGACTAATTGATTGTCTCAAAGAAAAGCGTGACAAAGTAGCATGAGGTGACACAAAGAAGGCACTGCAGATGTTTTAGCGTACTCTCGCTGTTCAGCTCGGGACTAGTCTTTGTACACAGAAAAGATAGTGTATGTCTAGTACTTGTTGCGCTTCAGCAGAACGACGTCCACACTGGATTTGTCAGGAAGAAGTCACGGTATGAGACATGCAGTTGGTTATCATGTGAACATCTTGTTATTTTTTCACCTCCATTCAGGGTCTTTGCCTGGTCTGGGTCTAGCGCGTCGACCCGAAGCAGATCTGGATGGTGTAGGCATCTGTGAAGTTGCGGCTGTTGTTCTTCACCCAGTCTTCCCATCCACTGGACCACCTGACCACTCGCGAAAACTGCCAGGTTTTGCTAAATTGGTGCACACCACCAGCACTTGGCTGTATAAACCCAATTACACCACCGTAGACCCCAAACAGTTTATGTTTTCAAAATCGGGAGACAAAGGATTGCAAGGCAGAGGCGGCCGCAGCAGCCCAGAGCTGGGAGACAAATGTAAAGGATTGCAAGGCAGAGACGGACACAGCAGTACAGAGCGGGCGGACACATCTTAAGAAAGAATTGAGAAGCCCTAACAGTAAACCTTTTGGGGAATTATTCTTCAAGTGCGAACATGATGCTGGTCATGCTGCTCAATCAGCGGGGAGTTGACCACGTGAGGACAATAATTAAAAGCATGAGGAGCGAAGGATGTGACATGAAAGGAAGCGGGAGACAAGCAGCCGGGAACCCGACCACAAGCACCCAGCCTGGGAGACAAATGAAAAGAACTGGGAGACAAATGAAAAGAACTGGGAGACAAATGAAAGGACGTGGGACACAAATGAAAAGAAGTGGGAAACAAATGACAGGAAGTGGGAGACAAGCCAGCCGGGAACCCGACCACAAGCACCCAGCTTGCGAGACAAATGAAAAGATCCCCGGAGCAAACCTGGTCGAAGGCTACTCTGGGACCAACAACCCGTTTGGCCTCCAGTCGTACCGAACTTCAGGTTTGTTGGGACTGGGGCCATTGCCAGGAGGTTTCCAGTCAGACCGAAACTGAGGAGGTACGACTGGAGGCCTAGGGCAAGGAGACCAAGAGAGGTGGAAGACCGGTTCGGGTGATAAGATCACGCATAGCCATAAGAAGGCTCTGTTTGCCTTGTAAAGGTTCATGTGGGAAATGAATATTGCAAAGCCAATGACCTGTGAAAGTACGCCGTAACCATCCACGTTCGAGGTGCAGCTTGACCGATATAGGTACTCACCACTTCAGGTTGCAAGGATTCCACATCAAAGATCGAAACATCGCGCAGCCGCGCCTATGCCAGACCTTCTGCAGGTCCGGTTGCTAGGTCCGACGGTCAGCTTGAACCATCACGCTTCAGATGCGGTTCATCAACCACTGTACTAATCATTTTCTCGTCGACTGTCCCAAAAAAGAACGTACCCAAGGAGCTTCAGGTGACACGCAGCAGCCATTGCCTATATCTTCGCATGCTCTCTCTGCTCAGCTCGCGACTCGCCTGTGTCTACGGAAAAGCTTCCCAGAAAATATGTCTAGCTACGTCCTTGTTCTCCTTGACGTGTTCAGTCTAGTGTCTCGAGTCCATGTATCGGTCTCTGTGTGTGTGTCTATGTTGTTAAGTGTGACGTGTTCAGTCTAGTGTGTCGAGTCCGTGTGTGGGTCTCTGTGTGTATGTCTATGTTGTTAAGTGTGACGTGTTCAGTCTAGTGTGTTGAGTCCGTCTCTGTGTGTGTGTGTGTCTATGTTGTTCAGTGTGACGTGTTCAGTCTAGTGTGTCGAGTCCGTGTATGCGTCTCTGTGTGTATGTCTACATGTTGTTAAGTGTGACGTGTTCAGTCTAGTGTGTGTGTCGAGTCCGTCTGTGGACGCGTCGCGCTTAGAGGTTGCGCGCGCTCAGGACACGTCGCACTCTCGCCTACATTTCGCGCACTCGACACGCACGATCTCCGCAGCGGGTTCTCCGCGTGTAGACCCACTCGCATTCTCGCCTGTGTTTCGCGCACTCGACACGCACGATCTCCGCAGAGGGTTCCGCGGGTACCGGTCAAATCGCACTCTCGCCTGCGTTTCGCGCACTCGCCGCGCACGATCTCCGCAGGGGGTTGCGCGGGTATACAGGACACATCGCACTCTCGCCCGCATTTCGTGCACGCGACACGCACGATCTCCGCAGAGGGCTGCGCGCGCATCACACCACTCGCACTCTCGCCCGCATTTCGCGGGCCAAATCGCACTCTCGCCTGCTTTTCGCGCACTCGACGCGCATGATCTCCGCAGAGGGTTGCGTGGGCACAGGCCAAATCGCACTCTCGCCTGACACGACACGCCCGATCTCCGCAGAGGGTTGCGCGGGAACAGGTCAAATCGTACTCTCGCCTGCATTTCGCGCGCTCGACACCCACGATCTCCGCAGAGGGTTGCGCGGGCACAGATCAAATCGCACTCTTTCGCGCACACGACACGCGCGATCTCCGCAGAGGGTTGCGCACGCACAGACCCAATCGCACTCTCGCCTGCATTTCGCGCACTCGACACGCACGATCTCCGCAGAGGGTTGCGCGGGCACAGGTCAAATCGCACTCTCGCCTGCATTTCGCTCACTCGACACGCACGATCTCCGCAGAGGGTTGCATTTTCGGTTGACGCTGTTCGTCCCACCCTCCGCCTTTAAGAGAGAATTTATAAGGTGGGGAAATGTTTTTCATTAGGACATCTCCCGTGCAAGTTTTCCATACTCACACTTGCATACTCACACTTGCATACTCACTACACTTTTACACTTGCATACTTTTGCACTTGGATACTTGCCGTTGGATGCTTTCACTCTTCCACTTACACTGGGGTACGTATAGAAGTGTAAGTGTTCATGTTCATGTTCAAGTGTAAGTGTGGAAGCGTAAGTGTTCAACTGTACGTGTCGAAATGTCAGTGTTCAAGTGCAAGTGTGGAAGTGTCAGTGTGTAAGTGTAAGTGTCGAAGTGTCAGTGTTCAAGGGATTTTCCGGAAGAACCCTTCGCAGTGCTTTCGGGATGAACACATACGTGTTTATATATACTTTTTTTGTCGAGCTGAGCTTCGTTCTTGAGGGGTCTTGCAGTATTTTTTACACTGGCCAGACAAGAAGAGTTGGGCTTCTTGAAATTCAAACCCATTACAGCCATTCTAGATTCCTACACTGGGAGACCTGGGACAATGTGGGCGGTCATTTTTTCACAACGGGAAGCCTTTGATCATTATATGTAAATAAATGCGGTGTGACAATTGACCGTCCCACACCCGCCACGAAAATTGGACTTGTTAATTCGATCTGCAGCTGACCCAATCGTGCTTTATAAGCACGGTTATCAAGCATCAACTTTGTGTGCCTGACGTAGAGCAAACTCAGGCAGAGTCGAGCAATCTCTAGGCTTGCAACGTGCAGCTCTGGGGCTGCCATTCCATGAAAAGGCGCGGTATGCTCACCGTCGCCAACCTTACATTTCTGCACTCGTTGGACAGGTCACTGCAATTGAAGACTTTTTTGAACAAACTGATTCGGCCAACGGATCCGCAGATGTGTCCGAAGCACCCAACTACTGGTACTTGGTTTGCCTGAAATTCTCTTTGATGAGTGTTTCCAAATCCTTTGTTTTTTCTTGCTCATTGTCTTTCGCCTTTCCTCGACATCTGAGGCACGATGCAGTCAGCAAGGCACTTGTACTGAATTAAATGCCGGTTTCTGGTCTCTTGGATCTTGGATTTTGCTGTGCAATAGTATCTCGTGTTGTCAGGTGCGGGATGCATGGATGGCAGGTCAAACTGATGCATCTGGTGTGGCTGAGCTTTTCCGTGGTGGCAAAAAGGCCTTCTTGGCAGGGTAGATCCGATACATTGCGGGCCCATGTAGAGGGCTGCTGCAGCCAGCGCGTCTAGAAGCTTTTTCTGCATATTGCTTGTCAGGTGAAGTGGATCGAAGGTGTCTTTGAGAAAGAGTCGAAATGCAGTGACTTCCCGACGATCATTCTGGACCTGTCCTGTTTGCTTTGCCTTGCTTTACTGATGCTCCTGTCCCACTGGATTTCCACCTCAATTTCTGCAGGACTTGAGCAAGACATTTGCAGACTTGCTATGCTGCCACAAGGAGGCCGCCTTTCTGAGCTGGGCCCTTTGTGTGGTTCAGCCCTTCGTATATATATATATACATATGTATGTACGAGGGACCTTCATGTATAATGTAACGTACTATTGTTTCTAATATTTTATAATGCTAATATAAAAGGAAACCATTTAAAGTTATATAACACAAATTACATCAAACAACGAACACTAAATATTTTGTTTGTTATATATTTTAGTTTTGCGGCCTACAAAAAAACCAATAAAACTAAATCCTTACAGTTTCGAGGTTTCCAGGTATTTAGAAAATCGACAAACAATTAAAATAACTAAAACAACAAAATCCTTCAGGTTTCGAGGCTTCCGCGGTATTTAGAAATTCTTTAAAAAAAAACCTAAAGAACCGCTTCTTTACGAGCAACTGTGCATGGCATGCTAACACATCTCCTTAAGCAATGCCTCTCCTTAAGCATGAAACTTGCAACCTGTGGGTCATGCTGAAATACATGACACCAATGAAACATGCAAACTGTGGTAGGGCAAAACGCCCGAGGAGCCTCAATGTAATATAGTTGTTCGGAAGGGGCCTGTTGTGGGCGGTAGAAAATTAAGACGAATTGCATTGTTTCAAAAATGAAATGAACTTAGATATGAACAGATTGCACTGGTAAGCGTATTTGTTCTTCAACTATGTCCTAAAAATATCATAAATCCATAGGGTCAGGTGTTTACTAAAAAGTTATCAGATATATTGGATGTAATCTAATTCCACGCAACGCCGAAGCAAAACAATTGGTCTCGCTTTTAGACTCATTTTGTGAATTGTGTTGCTCTTATTGAACGCAGTTTACTCATTATATCAGAGTCAGAAGGCAAAGAACTGCAAATCATATAAATGACCCAGTTCTAACTCAGTTTTAATTGAATTCAAACTCAAATCTACTTAATTCAACTTTAGTTTATTTATCATTTTCCTAATTGAACTGTCATATACAGTAATCCTTTCGTGATTCCAGTTATATATTTTCAAAACAGAGTCAAATTTAATTGTCACTCAATGCAAATTTACTTGTAATGTGTTAAGTCTTTTTTTGATTTTAACTAAAATTCAATGCAACTCAGATTCGACTATTACTACTTGCATTTTTCAAGTCTAATTCTAGCTTTTATACAGTTCTAATATACTTCTAAAGAGTGGGCGTTGCTTTTAGAATGAACGGTTTTTCAACATAGAAATATATATTTGTCTTCAAAATGCACACCCTCAACAGCACCCGCTCTCTAGAATGAACTCTCTAGTGATCAAATCTGGTCGAACCGAAGTGACCTCACACATACTGAACCACATAGCACAGAGAGAATCTCCAATCACAAAGGGCTGCAATGCAGCCTTCAGATGTCATGGAGACAGGGCACATGCAGAGGAATCCTCCACCAAAGCCACAAATGGATTACCCCACCCGGCCACACTACTGCAAAATGGCGATCAACTTTGAAAACCGCCTGGTCAGATCTTCACAGATCTGAAACTAGGAGAGCCCTGCAAGTAGCTCTCAGACAAACTGATGGAGACATGGGCATACATCCAGTTGACCATACCTGGCAACTGTACACCCAAGCCCTCTTTGAGGCTTTCCACAAAGCAGCCACTATGATCCCACTTCCTTCGGAAGACTCCTTTCACAGAAATTTTCGACACTGGCAACGCAAAGCACAGGCTGCAACACCAAAGCTTGCCACACAGAAACATATGAAAGTTTCACCACGCAACCGAAGGACCTGTGGGACAATGCAACACCGCAAACAGCAAAATTGGCTTAACAGGGCCACTCGCTTACATAACCTGCTGGGCAGAGAAGCGCTCACGCAAGCACAAAGACAAGAGGTGATCTCTCTTCATCCTTGGACCGTCAGCAACTTACCAAGAACATTGATCAAGCACAACAAACGGAGATTCGCGACGACGACCAACATGGAGCGCTTTCCCTTCGTCACCTACAACGGTGCCATCACTCACACTGACCAGCAAACGCTACAAAACCTGCATGAATACTAGACAAATGTTTGGATCCATTCCGGACAGATCAGCACCCACCAAAAGCAGCACCCCACCTCGCACCTAAGACAGGCCGTCCAAAGTCCACAGATTTCCTGGCCTGCCGGGAAAAACTAAAAGGTGCGGCGGGACCATCCGGATGGACAGCAAATGAAATAGAGGACCTTCCTAAGGAAGCCTTTGGACTTTTCGGGCACATCACCGCTCAGTGGGAACACTTCCAATGCACACTGCACAGCCTTACTTTCTCATGGCAGGTGCACCTGCCCAAAGAGAGCAAAGTACAAGACAATAACACTATCAGCTTAGCACACCTCCGGCCCATCAACATATAGGTACCGCTGTTGGTCTAGCGCCTGGGCAGGCAGCGATTGTGTCAAAACATGGAGGCAAAGCGCATTCCCAACAGGAGTGACAGGCGGACCCGGCCCCCCGGGAACCGAGCAACTCGCCAGTCGCATGGCCGATCTCCAGGATCACCATGGCTTCCTTGGATTACAGCTTGGCCTTTGATCGGATTGACCCAACAGCGGCTACTGCAGCTATGGGTCAACTCGAACTACCGACAGGCCTATGCCAAACAAACATTGGCTTTCCAATGGAATCACCAACGTAGACAACTGCAATGGCGCCAGGATACTTTTGCAACCATGTAGAAACACAAGCCCCGGCCCAACACACAGACCGCAGCCAATGCATTTACATGGATGACAGGACATGGACCTGCGCCAGTCCTGAGCTCCTACTCTGCAATTCTGCACACTGAAGGCCTGGGAAAACTTCAGCCAACAGGTCGGCGTGCAAGAAAACCCCGACAAAACGCAACTTGTGGGCAGCGCGCAGCGCAAACGCGCACAACTCAAAGACACCCTACAAGCCTATCCTGCCCTGGTCGAGAAGATCCGACCTTCCGCATGGTTGTTCCACCACCAAAGCTACACAGCTCACTGACAAAGAGAAGCAACGTTTCACAGCAGCCAAAACCGTCTGTGGTCGTCAACACCTGGGTCTCCCACCGCGCCAAAGTGGCCGATCAGCGATGCCTGGTCGCAAGCAAGGCAAGCTACGGATGGGTAGTTAAATCCCCGCTCAAAACCCTCGCTCAAGAACTGGACCAAAAGGCACGAAAGGCCAGCCGACCACTCGTCCAAGACTCCATTTGTCTTCAGAACCTCCTTGAAGGAGGCGCCACTTGCCTTGAATCGGTGGTCGGAACCAGACAAGTTCTTCTTTGGCTGAAACGCAAATGCCAAGAAAGATGGACCCCATTTCATTTCAGGAACAAACCAGCACAATAGCCGCCGAAGCGAAGAGCTGGCCCACTAACATGGGATGGCAGATCTCTGAACAAGGCTGGCGCCATTCCAAACAGCATCCCAGCCAAACCATATTTGGACCAAACCCCACGCCAAGAACATCGCCCACCTTTGTCGAGGGAGCTGGCGGACCAAACAATGGAAGGCCTTCCTCGACTCAGGCCGGAGAAGCCAAAGTCCTCGGAAATTGGCCATACCAGGAAGCACAGTTCACCCCCGCAGCCTGGACTACAAAAAACGCATGGCAACTGTCCATACTGCCATACGGATCGAGCTGACCATGCTCATGTTTTCTCGCAGTGCCCATCCAGACCACCTGACAAGCAACACCGCGCAGCACAAGATGCCCTCCAAGCCAGATTGGGGTGGCCAACATCCGCAGCGCAGCCTTCCGGGACAGCAGTCCCGAAACAAATGACCTCCATTCTGGAGGACATTTGGACAGCGAGGCATTCTTACCAGCCCGCACAGATGGCCTGGCTTACCAAAGTGCTAGCTTTACCAAGCCAAAGGCTTTAAACAGCACAAAGTCCCTTTTACACAAAAGGGACGCAAACAGCACACCCAGCTTTAAAGCTGCGACAGATGATGCTGTAAAGTCAACCTGCAGCATCTACAACGGGTTCTTCTTCTTCTTCTTTTTGAATTAGACTTCAACTAGAAATGAGTTTGCATTGAATTGGGAGAAAAAGCAATAAAGCAGAATTAAGTATATTAGAATAGAACTATCGAATTGTCTCAATTGTGAGACAATTGAATTTGAAGTGTATAAGGTCTAGATTTACATGGGACTAAACATCAAGTACAATAAAAAGGCAACACAGATAGAACTAAATTTGAACTAAAGCAAAACTGAATCAGAGCTAAAAGTTAGAGATAAACCAGAATTACACCAGAATTGAATTAGACCTGAGTTGGAGGTAAATTACACTACGTTATCTCAATCAAGTTGCATTAGAATTAAACTAGAACTGAAATAGAGTTGTGTAACTTAGAGCTTGGTTAGAGTTCAATTAGTATTGAATCAAAATAAAATCAGAGCGCGGTTAAAAATCACATTTTCAATACACATCATATAACTGAGTAATTTTAATTAAAACCATAATTTCAACTTAGAAGAACCCAATGAGATTCAAATAAGAATTAAAACTAAGTAAAACAATATTAAATTCGGATGAAATTAGAATAAGACCTGTGAGTTAGACGTTTTACTGAAACATTAAGTAATTGAGTTAGACTTGAACTAGGAATTAAGGTCATCGCAATTAAAGCTGAGTTTAAAATTCAGTTGGACGCACAATAGAATCAATTTACAATTAATGTATTTTTCAAAAATAGGAATTAAAGTTGGTTTTTTTACTGTAACATTTTCAATTCAACTTTTGTTTAAAGAAGCGCCTACTTGTAATAACGTTCAATTAGATTGAATTTGATTGGAAAGTTGAGTCAACTAGACATGAATGAGAAGCAGGTTTGAATTGAGCTACAAACAGACAAGAATAGAATATAACTGCATAGAATTAAGTTAACTTAAAATGAAGTAAAACTGTTTAACTTTGAACTCGATTAGACTTGAGTTAGAACTGAACTAGAAATAAGATTGAAATAGAGTTTAGTGAAGATGAAATTTAACATACAATTGAAACAGAATTGCATTAGAATGCAATAAGAATTAAAACTAGAGTTAAACTGGAATTCAATCTTAAACTAAGTTGGACTTGAACCATGCCCAAGTGTCTCAAATTGGGGACGACGGCTGGAACTAAGTGCCGGAGTCATGAAGTAGAATGCTATTAATCAGGATTATTCCAGGATCAGACCAAAAGCTGGAGAAAGCCAAAAAAGCAACCGTTTCCACAACTAGTCTGGTCTCTGGACCAGTTGACCATTGTTCTTTTTCCCCAAATAGTGCTCCGCACTAAGGGGTTCTTACGGTAAGAGTTAAGGGCCGGGTTTAGATCAGGGTTCGCGCGTGTGGCCCCGGCATTTTGCGTGGGCCGGCTCGCACAAAAGTTACTTTTTGAATTCCTCATGTCCATTTCGACTGCGCAGGCTCGCATAAAGTGGGTGTCGCGGTTTTCGCGCTTGCGGGACAAAGCTCTCGTGCAGGTGCCGTGCTCGTTTTCGGACATGAAGTGCATTTTGCGTGGCAGGCGCAAGGAATTCGACACATTGGAGCCTCGAAAAGGTCATTTTACGTGGCAGGTGCAAGGAATCGGAGACTTTGCAAATTTCGTGGCAGGCGCAGTGTTTTGTGGACGTTGCAAAAAGGTTGGCAGGCGTGTGTCATTCGCAGGATTGCGTTTCACGTGGCAGGCGCAGGGAATCCGCACCATGGATGCGATATTTTGAGGTGAGACGGCTGAATTCGTGAGAGGGGTCGCATTTTTGGAATTTGAACTTGAGGATGCTTTTGCGTGGCCAGTGCAGCATTTCGTATGACCTGCAGGCATGATTTCGTGGCAGGCACAGCGTTTCTGAAACGCATTTCAAAATTTGCGAAAGCCTCGTGCAATTTGCTCATTTTGGATCTCCGATGTGCAGATTTCGTGGCAGGCGCAGCGCTTTGTGAATCTCGATGTGCAGATTTCGCGGCAGGCGCAGCACTTTGTGAATCTCGATGTGCAGATTTCGTGGCAGGCGCAGCACTTTGTGAAGCTCGATGTGCAGATTTCGTGGCAGGCGCAGCACTTTGTGAATCTAGATGTGCAGATTGCGTGGCCGGCGCAGCACTTTGTGAATCTCGATGTGCAGATTTCATGGCAGGCGCAGCGCTGTGTGAATCTAGATGTGCAGATTTCGTGGCGGGCGCAGCACTTGCTGAGTCTGGAAGTGCAGATTTCGTGGCAGGCGCAGCACTTTGTGAATCTCGATGTGCAGATTTCGTAGCGGGCACAGCGCGTTGTGAATCTCAATGTGCAGATTTCGTGGCAGGCGCAGTACTTTGTGAACCTCGATGTGCAGATTTCGTGGCAGGCGCGGTACATTGTGAACTTCGAAATGCTCCTATGTACTCGCCTATGTGCTCTCAGATTTGTGCTTGTATGTGCTCTCACATTTGTGCTCTCAGATGTGTGCTCTCATGTGCTCTCATATGTGCTCCCATATGCTCTCATATGTGTGCTCTCATTTGTGCTCGTGAATCTCGATGTGCAGATGTTCTTGAAGGGTTTTGAATTTCAATGAACTTGCCGTTTTGGAAGTTGTTGGCTCGACCACCACCGTCAGCGCCACCTTCACCACCACCAGTACCATGACCGTCACCACTACCACCACCACCACCACCACTTTTATGCTTCCGCATCTGCTGCTCTCATCTGTGCACTCTCACATTTGTGCTCTTGTATGTATCCTCTCATATTTGTGCTC